ACAGTGGAAGAACAGCAATCTCTCCCCAAAGCAGGAAGGTGTGAGAATTGAAGCTGAACTTGCAGGTAGTAACACTGATATATCTGCTGCCTTACTGAAGCAGCCTTGGTGAGGTGCCGTGGTGTATCCTGTGAATGATAGAACATGATCATCCCATTGCCGCAGACAGCATAGCTGTTTAAACTGGTGGAAGAAGTGGAAAAAGCTTTGCCCTGGATGATGCTGAGCACCATTGTGGCTGCACACAATGAGTATTCTAGCACACTTTGACAAATGCCTTGAAGATACTTGCAAGGCTATGAGGAATCAAGACATGAGCCATTCAACTCAACCTGCTCAAAGCCTGACCCACTCTTAACAGCATTTTTACTACTGCTGGCCCAATGAATTCCAGTCAATGATAACCTCCACAAATATTAATGATGGTAGGGGATTCAGAAATGGAAAATATCAAGTGTGGGTATTTAGATTCTCTTGGTGTCTGACTAGTTCTGCCAATTAAAACCCAGTATTATATGGACTAAACAAACCATCTTCAAAATTCACACCCACTGAAGATGGTGAACTAGCAATATGCCACAAACTTAGCCAGTATACATCACAAGTATCATGGCTCTGCTGGTAGAACCAGTACCCAAGTCACAAGGCTGAGGATTCCAGGAGCTTCAGGACAAAATCAAATATGACACACAACGCCTCTTTGAATTAATGATCTTTTGTATGTATCTGAGGGGATCCCAGTTTAATGTCTCACTTGAAACTTGCTGTTCTCCTACTGCTCCAAGGAGTGTCAACCAGGGTTCTGGAGTGTTGATACTGCATTAATACTGAAATAAATTCTAATATTATTTAAACTGTTTAACATGTTATTTCTCAGCTTCAGTTAAGTGCAACCAGTTTGAGTAAAGCATACAATATTCTTGTGAAACGAAAGGGAACTGATCAGATTAGTGAATTTAGGCCAGTCTTTCAACTTGGGAGTTGGATTCTAAGCAGTGAAAGTCTATTTGGGTTACTGAAAGAAAACTCAAATCTGTTACCGTTTTGACAATTCTTCACAAAAGTACCAGGTGAATGGACGTAAGGAGGAATAACCATTTATGAAGTATTGTGCAGTACAGTGCGCTTATCTGCATTAGAGGTGAGGTGGTTCAGCACTTTGCTCCGAGATGATGCTCCGAGTGACCTAGGACTGCTCAAAGCAGACTATGGGCTTAAAAGGTCCTGAAATGTTTTAGCTATCAGCTACAGCACTTCTCAACTAAATCCAACACAGACTCAGACATAGAGATAGTAGGAACTGCAGATGCCGGAGAATCTGAGATAACAAGGTGTAGAGCTGGATGAACACGGCAGGCCAACCAGCATCATAGGAGCAGGAAGGCCGACGTTTCGGGCCTAGACCCTTCATC